CTCTAGGAGGAGGACTCTTTTTGGTTTATCCATCACCCCAAAGTAACTGCTAAAAGCAGTTCTCCATTTAAGGCATTAGTCTTTTCACTCTGGACACACTTTTTTGAGGATCTGGCCCCTGCTCACCATTCCCACAGCCATATCTAACCCACCACCCAGTCTAAGTTAAAAACAACTCACACTAAGGCCAGCAGGTGGCATGATGGTTAAGACACTGGACTCCCACATGGTTGACTGTAGTTTGAGTCCTGGATCTGGTGACTTGAAAAATCATGCCAGATACATGTGCATGTGTGCCCAAAGTCCCAGGAGGAGAAAGGAAGAGAAGGGATTAGATGGAACCAGCAGTTAGCGTAATGACTATGTTGCTGGACTCCCATGTAGTCGACCGCAGTTCGAGTCCCGAACCCAGAGGCTTAAAGTCACGCTGGGTGCGTGTGTGTGCGTGCCCAAGATCCCGAGAGGAGAATGGAGAGAAAGGATTGTGATGTGGCCACTCCCCCGGGGGGGTGATTTCTCGCTTTCTGTCTCTCTGTCTTTCTCTGTCTTTCTGGCGATCGCATGCGCCCTATAGCAAAAACCTCTCCAAAACAAAGGGGAAAAAAAAGAGAGAGAGAGAAGGGATTAGAGCATGGCCACCCCCTTGTGGGGGAGGGCGAGCTTCTCACTTTCTCCCTCACTGTCTCTCTCTCTCTCTCTCTAAAGTGAGTGAACGTGCCCTATGAGGGGGTAAAAAAACTTTAAAAACTTAATTAAAAATAAGTAAAAAGTGACTCACACTGAAAATCCTGCAGCTTCTCAAGGCCCTAAACCTACCTGCCTTAGGGTATTTGCACTTAACTACTCTTACAGTATCTAGATCTTCCCACCACCTGCTATTTGAGCACTCTTTTAAGACTTAAAGTATAATCTCATAATTTTCTTTGAATAGCAGCTGCTACTAGAGTCTAAAATTCAGTGGACATGCGTGGGTCTGATTCATCCTGACACTCCCAGGACTAGCACAGCCTATCAAAGAGCAGATGTCCAAGCAATGTTTGAGAAATAAATGAGACAGTGTGCAAAAAGTCTACTTTATTGTGATGTACTTTCTCATACATTTTTGAGTAAGCATATCAGAGCCAAGTATGTACTTTTTAATTTCATAAAACAAGCTAAAATTCATGAAAAAGAATGTAATAATTTATCCTCTTTTAATTTCTTTTTTTATTTCTTGATCCCAACAATTTTATTGCTGAGTCCCTTCACAATACCAAGAAGATGCCTAATCCATTACTGTCTTATCTTTTTTAAGATAGCTGGATAAGATATTTGAAAATCCAAATTAAAAATATTAAAAGTTCTAAAAACATTGAAACTCTCAAACAGCAAAAACATCGATAGGCCTGACCTCATAGCAGAGCAGTTAAGTACTGCACAGTGGAATCCTAATACCACATGGTTGACCAGGATTTGAATACTGTCCCAATTGACTTAAAAACACTCTAAGTACACACACGCATGTGCCCAGGATCCTGATAGAACGGAGAGTTGAAGAAAAAAGGATTAGGGCATGACCAGTACTCATTAGGGAGTTCTCTTTCTCTCCCCTTCCCCACTCATTCATGCATGTGCCCTCTGGCTTCCAAAAATCAATTAATGTATGACAAATTACTCATAAACATGTATTCTAAAACTTCTTAACCCATCTAGTAAAAGGAACAACATTTAACAAATATTCAAGTTATTATAAAAGACAGGAACATATACAATGCCATTCACTGTTTTGCTAACCTCGCCCAATGCTCCACTAATGAGGAACATTAGCTGTCCTTTTGAAAAGCAGAGTAAAGAATCTTCCTCAGCCTTCACTTGGGGCAGGAAGAACTGATGGATGTGACTTTGGAACGTGCACCGGCCACTGCAGGAGTGCGAGCTCTGGCTGCAACTCTGGCTTGGGCTCTCTCTTCTTCATCTCTCAAAGCCTCTTCATACAAGGATGGGAAGGCACTTGGGATGGCATTTTGGACCTTGGCTAAAAATTCCAGGACTTTCATCTTGCTGGTTTCAGCATGGGCTCTTGGACCCCACAAGAATTCGTAGCATGGAGGATCACTGTTAGGCACCTGGCGGTACTCCAGGTACTTTTCTTTCACCAAATCTTGAGTAATGAGCTTCCTGGGTTCTCCATAAATGAAATGCTTCCTCCCATCATATATCCCCATCATATTTAGCACTTCCCAGACTTGCTCTTCAGTGGCACAATTGCCCTTGGTAAAGATCACACCCAGTATAATCATCAACAGTCCAGTCTTGGGCATACCATCATCATTCACTTTTGCATCATGGCTTAATTCCAATTTGTTGACGAGGACATAGATGTTCCTGTTGGGATCTACTTCTTTCAGGTCAAGACCAAAGATCAACTCCAGGTGCTCAGAGGCTTTCCTCAGGATCTCAGAGAAGTGGCTCTTGTACATTTGGATTACATTTCTCAGCATATCTGCCTTGGTAACTGGTTCTTTCATTTGATACTTGTACAGCAGGTAATGCACCAAGATAACAACCTTTGTGTCCAGAGGGCCTATGAACCAGGGCTCAGTGGCAGCTTGATGGATTGATGAGGCTTTGGACCTTTCCTCTATTTTCTTGTAGACACTTTCATTAGATCTTGTTTCTGAAACAGCTGCAGCAGCAGTGGTGGTGGATGGGGTTCTCTGAGGCTCTTGCTGATTGCTGGCTCTTTCAGCAGCAGATAACATCTGGGGAATATCATTGAGCTGCTCACATAAGAGAAAAAGGGACTCTTCTTCCTCTGACATAGTGACTTCAGCATTCTCCAGAACCTCAGGCTCTTCTTGAGTCTGAGCCTGAGCCTGGCGACGTTTCTCACGGGCACGGAGCTTACTCTTCTGACCCCGAGGCATAATGAGTCAGGACTGGGAGAAAGAGAGCAGTTGCTTCAGTGACCTGGAGGAAAGAAGATGAGATGGCATTAATTCTCTTCAGCATGGAGATACCACCTTGACTATCAAAGGCTGTCTCTTTCTGTAGGTTTCCTTAAGGACCCTGTTGAAAGGACTCATGATGCTACTCTTATGAGCCTTTCCTCTAAGGATCATGTAGAAGTAACTAGGGTGAACCTTAGGCTGCTGCTCTCCAATTCATCCTGAATCTTACTGGGGTTGACACAGTGTCTGGCAGATTCAGACTCTGTGAGGTATCCTCTGTTCTGGGGTAGAAGATGTTCCTCGTGGGGCCATCACCTTAATTTCTAGCAGGACCTGTGATCTTCCTGCTTGACTTCTTTGACGTTGACTACATTTCAAAGCCTTTACCCTCCTAACTCCCTGGATAAAGAACTGAAGGGGACTCTCATGCTCCCACACTGGCCCTGGGATACTTGGGTACGGTAGCAAGGTGAGGCTCTGAGATACCCTTTCCATCCTAAGATAGTTAGAGTTCTCAGTCCTCGCTAAGAGTCCTCAAGTTTGCTTCTTGAAGGGTCTGATTCTCCTCCCTCTGCTAACTTGATTCCTATCCCCTCAAAACAAGGGCTTCATATCCCTGAGACTCCTGATGAGGAAATTAGGGAATACCTTCCCCAGGGACCACTTCAGAATGACAGCCCTGGTAGGCCTGTGAAACCCCCTCTGTTCTCAATATTCAGGTTCCTCATCATGACTGCTCTTCTCGATTGCCTTGTGCTTTCAGCTCTTCACACTTAATGTCTATGCAAATCAGACAAGACCCTCACCTAGCTAGTATCTCATAGTATGAGAGACTACACTCAAAATGACCAATCTTCCCAGGGCTTACCAAGCTACAGACTACAGAGGCAGGGCCTGCCCTACTAAGATCTCACTTTAATTTCCAGAAAGGCCTGCGTCATCTCCCTCTATTGACCTGTCACTGCCCTGTCAGACCCACCCCTCATCCTCCTGTGACCACTAAGGGTAAAGTGAGGGGCATTTTAGCCTGACAGCTTTGACTAAGAGATAGTATGGCTTATAGCAGTGCTAGTGCTCTGAGGATCCTCCTTTGTCCTGGAGGAGAAAGTCCCCTCAATCATTTCTCAAGGTTCTGAGCTTAACACCAGTCACCTTTACCCTCAAAGAGTAGTCCCTCCACCAATCTGCATCATCTAGCCTTATACCAAGGCTCTTATCACCCATTTGCCCACATACCAGAAAGTGAAGTGAAGGGGCACCTCCACCTTACAGCAGGAGTGAGTCTCTGTAAAACATCCACTGTTAGGGGGAAGAAGCTGTTTCCTGCAGAGCTTATATAGGGACATTTTACTGGCTTGTGGCAGAACCTGGAACTACTTCTGCTGACCTGAGGCATACGCGATGGTCACCCTTACCTCCTTGAGCACCTAAAGGTGAAAGTCAAGTGTGCTATTTCCAGCCACCTCTGCTTGGAGTCTCCAGCAGAGCTGAAGAGTAAAGGTTGGACTCTGTGCAGATCCTTCTGTTATGGAAACTCCTGGGTTCTAGGTCAAACAGTAGGGCTCTGAGGGGATCTTTTTGTTACGAATTTCCCAAACAGAGCAGTAGGGGTCAGGCTCTGTGGAGAATTTTAGGGGTCAGGCTCTGTAGGGAACTTTCTGTTACCAAGTCTCCCAGGCCGAAAATTAGAGGTCAGTTCTATGGGGATTCTTCTGTTACCGAGTCTCCCAGGCCCAAAAGTAGGGGTCGGCTCTGCGGCAGTCTTTCTGTTACTGAGTCTCCCAGGCCGAGTAGTAGAGGTCAGGCTCTGTGGGATTCTTTCATTACCGAGTTTCCCAGGCCGAAAATTAGGGGTCAGGCTGTGTGGGGATTATTCTGTTACTGAGTCTCTCAGGCCTAACAGTAGGGGTCAGCTCTGTGGGGGTCTTTCTGTTATGGAGTCTCCCAGGCCCAAAAGTAGGGGTTGAGCTCTGTGGGGAACTTTCTATTCCCGAGTCTCCCCGATAAGCAGTAGGGGTTGGCTCTGTGGGGAACTTTCCGTTATGGAGTCTCCCAGGCCGCGCAGTAGGGGTCGGGCTCTGTGGGAGTCTTTCTGTTATGGAGTCTCCCAGGCCGCGCAGTAGGGGTCGGCTCTGTGGAGAACTTTCTGTCCGGAGTCTTTCGGGCCGAAACTTAGGGGTCAGGTTTTGTGGGAGTCTTTCTGTTATGGCATCTCCCAGGCCGCACAGTAGGGGTCGGGCTCTGTGGGGGTCTTTCTGTTATGGCGTCTCCCAGGCTGCACAGTAGGGGTCGGTCTCTGTGGGGGTCTTTCTGTTCCCAAGTCTCCCAGGCCGCGCAGTAGGGGTCGGCTCTGCGGGAACTTTCTGTTCCAGAGCCTCCCAGGCCGAAAAATAGGCTTTGGGCTCTGTGGGGACGCTCTGTTACTGAGTCTCCCAGGTTGAAAATTAAAGGTCTGGGCTCTGGGGAACTTTCTGTTACTGAATCTCCCAGGCGCAGCAGTAGGGGCCGGGCTCTGTGGAGATCTTTCTGTTAAGGAGTCTTCCAGGCCAAACGGTAGGGGTCGGGCTTCACAGGGACTCGACTGCTGTGGGGAAGGATGGGGTTCCACCTAACTCATATGGGGCCCTTCAGTGGTTCTCTGAAGGCCTTAGGACCCCTTCACTATTCTGACTTGACTCTAACATTCTGTTCAATGTTGTCCCTTCTAATTGTCACAAGGGACTTCGGAAGGCAATGCATAGGCAATCTGTGCTCAGAGCCTTATGAGGTTGGCTGCAGAGGCAATATTGTAGGGCTTTCTCTCTTTGGGGATAGAAGGTCCATTCAGTTCATACTTAATTTCCCTAAGTAAGGAAATTAATCTTACTTAATCTTACCTCCCGGTAGGGCCTAGATTTGCCTGTCGACTGAGGACACGCCACCCACTTCACAAAAAGTCTCACCTCCCACAGACTCTAGAGGTGGAAGTCAGTGTACGTCACATCCGGCCACGTCTGCTTGGGGTGTTCCAGGTCTTCCAGCAGGGGCAACGCAATGTACGCTGGGACTCTGTAGTGCCTTCTCTGTTGTGGGGTGAGTAGATCTACCTTTCTTCAGAGGTAGATCCATATTTTGGGTCCTGATTCACTGATTAAAAGCTCCTTGGAAAATACTACCTCTCTGAAAGTTCTGGAGTTTCCTAACTGAACCGTTATAGATAAAGGGTTTATTCCAGGCATGATGCTAAATGGAAAAACTACAGGACAAGGTAGGAATCTAGAACAGGTTCTGAGCATTCAGAGAGAATGCATAGTGACTGTAGAGTCACATCACTCGGTAAACGTACGTTTCTGGGAACTTTCTGATCTAAAAGATCCACTTTTTAGATGAAAGACATAGATCTGCATAATTTTGTGAGACCTAGATCTTCTGACATTGTCTAACATTGTGTCGTACTGTGTAGTGAACTTCATGTTCATTTGACCCTCCTTTGTAATAACAAATATATACTTGTTCTAATATTACTGTTATGTACAGCAAGGCTTTTGATTTTATAATAGTGATCTATATATCATCTTTGAGAAGTCACCCATTTATTTGAATAATCTGTGGCCTCTTCCTTTGGATTTTTCTAAATTGATCTTATTTCGCTGAATAATTTTTGGCTTTTAAAATACTTCTAATTATAATTAGAAGTTTTTGTGCTATCCTCTGGCAATGTATTTGGGTAGCATTCTATGTCTTATTCCTTACTTAAATGAGAATACTAACACTTCACATTTAAGTTTGTTCACTAAAGATGTTAGGAAATGGAAATTATTTTCTAATGTTATTATAGCTTGTTAACTGTTATTATCATGCATTCGTGTTGATCATTAATCTATTGATCTACTAATGTAGTAATTTTTAGGCACTTTATTTTTCTAGTGTTACACATTTTATTTTCTTTGAATGCAGACTTTTTTTTTCCTCTTTTAATTAACTCCTATATTGGGCCTGCTATGTCTTTATCTAGAGCCTTTGCCTCTGTATGATGAGCTTAGCTCAAGGGTTCTTTTCTCACGGCCTCCTCAGCTGATTTTCTTATCAAAGGGAGCAAGAAAATGAGTTTAAAAAGTTTCCCATTTTTTGTATTCCTTGGGCATGTTCACATAAGATGATGGTTAGATTTTTGCTGATTATTTGATAGAACAGGCCCCCAACTGTCTGCTCTCCAGACAGTTGAGAATGGCTGGAGCTTTGAACAGTTTCACTTTCTATTACTCAATTATAGCTTTCTATTTCTGTTTGAATAAATTGAATCATTCATATTTTTCTAAATAGAGGCCTATTTTCATTTGGGATTTCAAATTGAATGGCTACATATATTCTTTTGTTATAGAAGTTCTCAAACATTTTAAACGGTACAGAAAATATATCTAACATTCAGAATCAGCAGTCATCAATGCATGGACAGTGTGGTTACATCTGTATTTACCACCATCTCTGCCACTGGAATAATGTGAAAAATAAATCCTGGCCATCATACCATTTAATCTTTAAGTACTTTAGTATCTGTTTCTTAAAGATAATAAGCATAAACAGAGTTTAAAATTAAAAATTAATTCCTTAGTATAATCAAAAGTCTAGTTATGTTTCACATTTACCTGACTGCTACTTTAAATATTTATAAAATAAATTATTATAAGTTATAAATTGGGCCAAAATATACTAAAATGAGGGATTTGAAATTAGCCATTTTGCATTAAATTAATTTCTTATTCTCCTTAATATTCCACACACATTCAGATTCTTTTACCCCTAACAAAATATCTGGCTCCTGTTTTTTCTCCTAGTAATTTCTAGTCTTTTGTGTTGCTCAAACTGAAGTCATTAGTGTAGTATATTTATTCATATTTTTTTCATTAAACTATTGTATCTTAAAATCTCTGGAGTCAAGCATTTAAGTATTTACTTAATAATCCTTCAGCCCTCATACTAAAGCACCCAAGTAATAA